GCTCTGACTAATGACTATAGTTTTTGGCCTAGTGGTAAGCACTCGATCCTAACAGATAAAAATATGTAATTTAGGCACTTATTAGCAACTACTCATGTGTCACATATTTGCATACATTCCTTTCCATCCAAATCATAAGAGGAAGTGAAAAGTTTATCTTTATAGGTAATAAAATAAAGGTAAGGATAAAAGACATTGAGACATATAAATTGATCCTAGACATTGGATGTCATGTAAAGTTGGAAGGATATCTCTATGTACCTTGATGTGTTAGGAATTTAGTTTTTGTTGTAAATTTGGATAAAATAGGATTTAATTTTAAGAATAGGAACACATTTTTTTCTTTATTTAATGATATGCATTGTTATGCATATGATACTTTAATAAATGGTTCATATTGTTTCAATCTTGATGTAAAATTTATGGAATCCTTATTTAATGTTAAATATGTTACTAATAGTAAGCACAATGTGCAGAATGATAATTTTGCTTATTTCTGACATAAAAATTGGGTTACATATCCAAAGAAAGAGTAATGAGGTTAATAAAAAATAAAATATTACACAAATTGGATTTTGATGATTGGGATATATGTTTGGATTGCATTTATAGAAAGTAAACAAACAAATATCCAAGGATTATGTTACAAGAAGTAATGAACGGTTAGAATTAATAAACATTGATATATCTATGGACCTTTTGATGTTCCATCTTGGAGTGGTGAAAAATATTTTATCACCTTTATTGATGTTTTCTCATGTTATTGTTATTTGTATCTTTTGCATGAAAAATCTTAATTAGTGAACATCCTAAAAGTGTTCATTAATGAGGTAGACAAACAACTGATAGAAAAGTGAAAGTCATAAGATCTTATAGAGGTGGTGGATTTTATAGAAAACTTAATGAAAGTAGACAATGTCCAGGTCCATTTGCAAATTTCCTTAAAAATAGAAGCAAATGTGTACAATACAGTATGTATATACCTCAACAAATGGTGTTGTTGAAAGGCAATGGATATGATTAATTCTATGCTAAATTATAGTATTGCACATTTATCTTTATGGATGCATGGATTAAAGATTGTTAAATATTTGCTTAATAGTGTTCTTAGTACGATAATTCTTAAGACTGCTTATGAATTATGGACAAGAAAGGAACCCAATTTAAAACATCTTCATATTTGTGATTATCTAGCAAAAGTAAAGTGTATAATCCACATGAAAAGAAGTTTCATGCAAGAGCCATAAATGGTTTCTTCATTGGCTATCCTAAAAAGTTTAAATAATACAGATTCTATGGTATAAACTATTGTACAAAAATTATTTAGCCTAATAATGATGAGTTCATTAAAATTGGCTAATTTAGTGAAAGTGAGAAATCATAAAAGTTGGATATTGTTGAAACCCATGACGAATATTCTTCACCTAATATTTCTTTTAAGAATGTTGTTCCTCTGGTTATATTATGAGCAAATAACAATAAAAAATGACAAAATGATATCCAAAACCCATAAAATGAGCATATGGTTAGTGAACCAACAAATGATGTGCAAGTCACAAATAGATAAGTAATAGAAAAGGGGCATGAAATAACACCACGAAGGTCGAAAAGAAAAAACAGACAAACTATTTCAAATGACTTTATTGTGTATTTAATTAAACATGAATGTGAATTGAGCATTGATGAGGATCCAATCTCATTTTAAAAAATCCGTAGAAAGTGACAATTTAAAAAAAATTGCTTATTGTTATGAAAGAAGAGTTGGAATCAATGAATAATAATAAAATATAAAATCTATTTGAATTGCCTAAAGGTTTGTAGATGAGTCTTTAAGACTAAACATGACTTAAAAGACAATATTGAAAGGTATAAAGCTCGATTATATAGAAAAAGATTTCACTCAAAAGGTTAACATTGACTACAAAAAGATGGTTTCCTTATTTCTAAGAAGGATTCCTTGAGAATTGTTTTGTCTTTGGTGACTTGTTATGAAATAAAATATATATAAAACAATCATTGGAGAGAATTAAAATTATAAGCGCATAGATATATGTAAAGAAGAAAGGTCATATAAAAAGAACTAAGTTCATATATGCATTTTAACAATATTCATACTAAATTATCATTTTGATTGACATAACATTATAATATATCTCTTTAAGAAAACATAACTCAAATAAAACGGTAAAAGAATTTAGATACTAGAGTTTGTCTATCAAACATAACAATAATATACTTTGTTAGCTAACCAATACGATTAATAACATATTTTTTCTATCAAAGAAATAAATTTATATTCTCAAACCAAATAATATAACAAAATAAGTTTATGTTTTACTCATTAATATTTATAGTGTCTAAAGTGAAAAAACAAGTTAATTCTTTAGGGATGTATTCTTTCTTCTTTATTATGTAAGCCTTAACTATCGATTCTAAATTGTTATATTTTATTTGTGATTTGTTGAAGAGCTTAAATTAGAAGCACTAAGTATAATATTCATCAATAGTACTTTGAGTCAACTCCCATTTCAATTTATTCCTAGAGACATTTAATAATTATAAAATCGAGTTACAAAAATGCCAATATTAAAAGCATAACTTTGAAAAAAAAGGTAATCTCTCTCCAATAACTAAAACTTGTTATAGCCAATGCATCTTTTACAAATTATCCGTCTTTTTTTTTTTTGCATTTCAATATATAATTTCCCATGATAATTTCTTAGTTTTCAACAACTAAGATAGAAAAAGTAACTAAGTAAATATTGAACTTTCATGTACAACATAAAAGTAATCATATAGTGATATTACCATCTCATTCCTTCTAGTGGAATTGCTTTAGAGTCACACATGTGTAAAATTATTTGCTTTTTTTGAATTTCTTTATTTCTCCTACAAAGTTCCTATTAGCAAAATAATTACAATTCTATAGTAATCAATAATTAGGTATATAAATAATGCAATAATCAAAGTTTTTAAATCTTTACCAATGTTGATGGTTTATGACGATAATGAACAAAATGAGCCCATTGATATTTATCTATGCCTATTGGCACATGACTTATGATTTCATCTCTAGTTTTGGTTGGATATTGAATTCATTCCATTTGTAACCCATTTTCTCCCCAAACTCTTGCAATACAGTTATGCACCAACTTCACTCATCTTAAAATAAATTTGAGACAATAAGCAATTTTACAATTCTTCATGTAAAAATGAAAAAAAAAACTGAATTTACCAAAAAACCATGTAGTAATGATATAATGATGGCTAAGAAAAGAAGTAAAAAATTACTAATGATTAGGTTTTCTCACGTTTCAATTACTAAAGCTATTTTTACTATTTAGTCTAATTCATCAACACAATCTACATGTTAATAATACATTTAGGCCACAACGTAAATTAATTTCTAATTTTATAATTTAATATTAATATTTAGTCATATTAATACTACTAATACATATATAATGATGGGTTCACTAGTTATGCTCTTATAACTAATACTATTACTACTTCTATATTAAATACCTAATATGCTTAAATGTGTCATTTTTGCATAGTTTGATTTCAATAACGAAATATCATTAACATTCTCAAACTATTTTTGTATGTAAGAATAAAACTTCAAACACAATTTTACTCATCATAATTTGTTACAAAGTTGTGAATTCATGTTGTCATCCAACATTTTCTTCTATTAAAAATAATGTCTCACTTTTTTTTTTTTTTGAGGCATATTCTTCAATAATTGAACATCCAAGAAAGAGTGTTATGAATCATTATAAGTTGTTCATTGAGTTATATGATTTAAATTTTGTAACCTTTAAATTATCCATTGGATTGTATTTTGTACCTATAAATAAGTACATCTTATTTGGTAAAATACATGGAATCTAATATCGATTCTTTGTTTCTTCTTTCTCTCTATCTCTTGGGATCTTATTTCATAATATTTAACTAATAAAAGCATTACATACAAAGAGTTATTTGAGAATTATAAACAATAAATTTAATTTCATGTCCTATTATTTTAATTATTCTAAATTTAAAAAAGAAAAAACTAGGACATCATTGAATTAGGATAAAAAAAATCATAGTTTACTTTAACTTATTTTATTAATTTTTATTTCATGGTAATATAAAATTATTAATTTTCCTAATACTTAAGAAGTACATGTTGAATTTTCATGGTGGGACATTACTTGCATGATATGGAATTTATGATTATGAGATAATTCCATATCACAATAAAATATCTCTAGTAAATCCATGAAGTTGATCCTTTAGATGAAAATTGAAGATTAAGTTTTTAAAGGTTAATTTTCCCCTGAATTCTCTCGCATTAAATTTAGAAAACTCCATATTCAAGTGAAAGTTGATGGGGCCTTATCAGATATAATAATCTAGCTAAAAAAGAGTACATTCTAAATATACTTTCCAGTAACATATCATTGCATAGTAAAAGCAAATCAAGGGAAAACAAAATTCTAATTTAACCTTACAAAGCCATATTAGAGAAAAAAATGATTGGTGTAACCCTCTTACCTAAAACAAACCAAACTAAAAAAGAACATTTCCAGGAGATATAAGATGTCATTAGACCATGGAATGTTAACACTTCATCCATTTTTACTACTCAAAAATCAAAATGGTATGAATATACTTTTCATTTGTATTTTGATGACCACATTTTCTTTGATGTAAGTTATCCTGCATATGGGGTCATCACATATAACCTGAATCAAAATTTGATTATTTGTAATTATAACATCTATCTTTCAGATTCTTCTGTTCTTCCTTGGATGATGGTGTTTCACCTATGCTATATGTGAAAGGGTTTCTGAAAATAACATGAGGTAGTTAAAGAAGGTTACCAAATATGTTTAAATTTTCAAAAGAAGGTCACCTTCATTGAATGGTTATTATTGACAAGCTATTATTGTTGCACATTTAGATAAACAGGAAGAAGAGAAGATTGCCACGAGTTATGTTCAAAAACAAAGATGGAGAATGATATGGAAGGTGTGCATTGGTGCAACATATGCTCTAAAATGGTGAATCCAATTAGTGAGGCTGAGAACGTATGCCCATTTTGTGAGACTGAATTTTCTGAGGTAATGGACAATATAAGGGACCAGAATGATGTTATCGACTTGAGGTCAGCTTGGGTGTTCTCACTTTATGCCCCAATTTTTCTTGGTTTGATGGGTGCTTTCAGTCCTTCTCTAGCAAGAATTGCTCCACACGGAGGTAGCAGCTCGAGAGGGGAGGAAGAAGAGGTTGAGCAACATATGGAAAATGAGCTTGTGCTTGGAAGAAGGAGAAGAACTTCATCATACATGATGCATCTTTTTCGTGGACTTCATGTTAGGATGGTGTCTGAATTTGAAAACCTTGAAGACAATAGAAACATGGATAATAGCAGCATACTTGTTATTGATCCATTCAATGAAGGTGCATTGATTGTGAGAGGCCCTAACCTGAATCACACAAGTATTCCAAATGAGAATAATATTGTTGGTAGCTCCCTAAATGACCTTGTGGTAGGTTCTGGCTTTGATTTGTTACTGCAACACTTGACACAAATTGGTCCTGGTGGGTATGCAAGCGTGAACCCTCCAGCACAGACAGAAGCCATTGAAGCATTGCCTAGTGTGACAAGTGTGGAGAAGTTGCAGTGCACAGTGTGTTTGGAGGATGTTGACATTGGGAGTGAAGCAAAGGAGATGCCATGTAAGCATAAGTTCCATGATGACTGCATTGTCTCATGGCTAAAACTTCATGGTTCTTGTCCAGTTTGCAGGTTTCAAATTCCATCTGAGGATCCAAATGTTGAAGCCAATGTGGGCATTGGAAATGGGGACAATCAAAACAATGAGCTGGTTAGAGCTGGAGAAGAGAGACCAAGAAATGGAAGGAGGAATTGGTTTCCAGTGCTACAATCATTTAACAATTTTCTTCCTGCTCCTTGATAACATACTTTCTTGTGCTTTAAATTGCGGTTGAAGTCACAATTTTGTTGTGGTCCTAGACATTGTAGGAATTTGCACACCTGCTTTTGATGCAACTGTAATTGTGATACAGTCTTAGAAAGCTAAAAGACCTTAATGCTCAGTCTAAAATTGCATCAGTTTATGATTTATTAAAACCTTTTATGGTTTAGTCTTCCTCATCCTCATCAAGCATGAACAGATAAGTCTAAACACTGTCATGTCTCTTAATCCTTCCTAATTGTATTTATATTTTAGATTTCCTAGTTTGACTTTCTTGTACAATGAAAATACACATATATATGGAAATGTTTGCAAAAACAAAATAGTAAAATTGAGTGCGTTATTTTGTCTTCCAATCTAAAAAAAAATGAACATTGTGTAACTGTGGATGTTTAATTCTTTTTTATGTATAATTCTTGAATAAACAATAACATTAATTTAAAAAAAAATACTTTTAGCACATGAAATTGAAAAAAAATGTTAGTAATTTATAAAATTGATCTCTAATTGATCAATTTGATCCCAAACTTTAGCAGTTATCAATCATTTTAGTTCTTAACTTAGGTTCATATCCATCAATTTGATCTTAATATTATCCGTAATGTCAAGGATCAAATTGACTATGTTGTCAAATCGAATAGTCAAATTAACTATGATAATGAGTTCAGAGACTATATTAGTTGTAAAAGTTAGATCTAAAATTTCTTCATGTAAAATCAAAAATTAAATTGAGTAATGCTCAAATTTCAAGACTAATAGTCTAATAATATTTAATTCTTGGAAAAAGTTATATGAAGACCTAAATAAAGTCCCGAAACACCTTAAATATAATAAGTTACTTTTATAACAAAATATAGTATAAGAAGGGAGTACCCTTAATTCTTATAAGAGATCCCTTCCATGAAATCGAAAGAGAAGGAAGAGTTATTTTCAAAAAAGCACAATAAGGTAAGAGCAAGTCTTATACTTTTTGTCTTTAGCTAACAAACATCCAATATCTTGATCACAATACTAGATTCAATTCGAATCAGTGCTACAAAATTGTCTCCAAGGGTGCACAAGTCCTTTTTTCTTTTCATATGAAATAACAAACTCTATGATTTCTTATGTTGACTCAGTCTAGGAGGCTTCACAAGAACCTATGCCCGAAATAGGTATTAGGCCACGGTCGATAAGACTATGTCTTGTTGGGGCTTCTTCCCTGCAAAACCATTCAAAAGAATATGTTGTTATATCAGGAACTATACTTTGTCATTAGTTTTGAAGTGGTTCCACCTCTAGTTAGCACCAAGATTAAAGCAACATTAATACAATTTGCAGTCATAATAGTCATGCTCTCCAAAGGACTCAATGGAGTTGGAGCTATGTCCATAATTCTTTTGAATAAATCCCCATAGTCTATGAAATTTTTTGTCTTAGAAAAAATTCTAGCCATAGTTTGGTCAACAATGTCTGGATTATGCTCTATGGTAATTTCCTCACAAAGCATAACACAGATTGTACTGGAAACATCAGTGACCTCAACTCACGTAGATCGGGGTGATTAAATCATGGACTCTAACATTTGGGTGGCAATCACCACAGGCTTGCCATGTTGTATGTTTGATTTGTGTATCATTACTTTCTGAGAAAGAAGGATCTTACCATGTGATTTTTTTGGGAATTTTTCTATTCGCAGATATCAAGTTAACCCCTTTTTTGTTCCAAATTGATTTTATTGACCTCTTAACATGTAATTTGTCTTGTTGTAAGAGTGTTTTCCTTAAAGAATTATATTTAGGAGGAAAAAATCACCAAGAGTATGATTAACAACAAACAAATATGAATTTACATGAGTTTCTAGCAAGATTAAACATTTTAACTATGAGCGATTTGATAATATCTCTATCTACAAAGTTAAATGCTCTCGCAACATAATCACTTTTTTTAATGAATTAATGAAGTATTCTTATGTCTTTTTTAATGGGGAATGAAACATACTTAGATTTTAATCTATTTCAACCAATTCAACAATTAATTTTAATTAAATCAGATATTCATCACTAGCGATTAATAAGTTGATATAATTATAAAAAATAAAAAATTAAATAAAATTATTTTTTAAATACAAAAATTAATTATTATATTTTTTATAAATAACTATTATTTTTATTTTCTCAACAAAATTATATTTATATTTTTTTCTCTCCCATCCTTTTTCACATTTTTATATTTTACTCTTCAAACTTTCACTTTCTACACTTCAATTTTAAACACTTATCTTTGTACTTTCATATCTATACTTTTTTTTTTTTATCACTCTTTCACACACATGTTTTTCTCTTTGGCAATTTCATCTTAAAACATTATAAGTTTTTCTCTTTAATTTTTACAATTTTCTTGAAGTAACAATTTTTTTTATTGTTTTTGTTTATTATTGTAACATATTTGTGTATTATTTTCTATCAATTAATTAGTTTGTTGTTTTAATGTTTTATGATGTTTAATTTTGATGATAAAATGTGAAGAAAAAATTTAAGTTAATTTTTAGAAATGTTTATGAGGAAAATTATATACTCATTTTTCAATAGAAAAAAGATTATATATAATAAAATAAAATTTAACTTACTAAATTTAAATTCAACAAATAATATTAAAAATATTATTGAACAACTTATAATATAAATTATGTAATTATTTACGATTTTTATAATAGAAAATATCTTTGAATACACATCTTTAATCTTATATATATCTATTTTATGTCAATGTTAAATATACGTGAATAATTTATAATATTTTAATAGTTTTACATAATATATATATTATCCGAACCCCCTTAAGTTACTGACTTCACCCTGCAAATTTTGTCATAGGATTACAGAAAGATATATCCTTCTTAATCGAATAACACACTAACTTACATTTCTACGAGACTTGTAACAATCTCACCAAGAATTATGGAATCCCTTTAAGGTTTGAATACACAAACCAATAAAAACATTAACTTTCATAACGTACAATAAATTTTTAATATTTTTTTAATAATACCCTTGTCATTGATTACTAACAATAACTTATCTGCTTTCTTTACAATAAAGTATCAATTTCTTCCTCTTCCTAAAAATTAGAAATGTGAGCATGTGAAACATTTCCTCATTTTATTAAAAATAAGATTCCTTTAGTTTTTCAATTTTAAAAATTTTACCAACAACAATTTTTAGTTGTTGTTTTATGTTTTTCTTCATGAAACATCTCATAGAAACCAATATCTTGATCAACTTCGAAAGATTCTCCAACTTTATTCATGTTGATTTCTTGTAAGGTGTCTTAGAGTCATCTTATGTATTATTGAATGACTCTTCAACCTTCTCCAGGCTTTACCTTTTTTTCATTTTTGTTTGTAATTTCACTTAATTATCTTCCTTTTTAATTACACTCATTGCACTTTTATTTATCATAAATGTTATTTGTTTTAGAATGAAACAAAGTTTACATATTAATGCGAAGTTAGTTGACGAGATGAAAATAATAAATTGTCTTTCTTACTATTAGTTGATACAATTCATTTAAAGTCTCATAAATTAGTATTTTAATTCTTTTTTAACTTTTTAAAAGTAAACGTACACTTGGTAAAAAAAATAATTAATTTAACTTTTAAGTCTAATTATGCTATGAGGTCAATTTTCACTTTCGAATTATTATCCGTTTTAAAATCTCTCCTTTATAACAACTTTTAGAATATTTCGTCCATCATAGTTTTTTCTTAAATCAATGAGGTAAAGAGAAGAGTCTATTTAAACTATCATTGACTTCGACTCCTAAGCAATGCGAGACTGATGATCATACAGAACACTTTAAAAATATCATTTTGGAACCCTGGAAGTATTCATTTAGCATATGTTGAATCCTCGAGAACATTTTTCATTTAAGTTAGAGTCCTAATTTATTGGGAGATCCACGATGTCGTTAATAAAGCTATCATAACTCACTAATGATCTCAACAATGCGAGACTTAGTAACTAAACTAAAACTTCTGTGACGGTTGGTTCTTTTAACAAAACCATTTTGAATGTTATAAGGAATATAAAAAGTTGCCAAAAGGTTATAAAACGGTAGTTGCTAACAGGTAAACGTTATCAAACTTATTTTTTAATCTAATCAGTTTCAAAATAACCTTTGAACTCTTAAATTAAATCATACATGTAAAGGGTCATAGTGTATATATACTCACTGGCCTTTGTTTGATGTTGTGTACGTAAGTAAGTAATTCTACGTGCAATCTATTGGATATAGCAGATTATTCTGTTCATCTCAGTTATTGTCAATGGGTTGTAACTTGTAATTGGCATCTGCCAAAAACTAGATGCAAGTTACTACCCAAAAATGAAAACCCAAATGGAGTAGGAACTCAACATGAAACCTTCTTAGCCTTTCATGTTCAAATTTTACATACTAAAAGTCCTAGCAATTCCAGCTGAAACCATTCAAATCAAACTGTTGGCAGTGGGAAGAAGCATCATTATCATCATGGGAATTCAGGTCCAGTTTCACTTCAAAGTTTGCTAGCCTATAATCTTGAGAAATCTTCTCATGCTTCAATTTAAGTGGAATTCTCCCAGTTTCAGTGTTATCTCTTCCCTTCCACCCTTCTTCCTTTGAAACAGTTGTTCTCCCAAATTTTTCCTCTTCTAGAACTCCTACTTTCATGGATAAGAGGCTTGAGGGCCTTTCTGCTAAAAACTCTCCCTTCACTACTTTAGTCTCACTTGATGAGGAAAGAAACATCATATTCTCCTTCACTTGTTCACTTAATGTGAGATCAGGCTTTAAATGCATTGAATCTTGCACACGATCTTTTGAAACTGAAAATGGAGGGTCATTGTAGGATATCAAATTCAGGCTCATGTTATGTGTTTCTCTGTCTCTTTGAGGTTCCTCACTATAGGTCAAGAAACTACTCATTGGGAGATCAATGGCTTGGCCCTCTTGTGTTTGCT